CCGAGTGAAGAACCTCTTGGCCAGAGGCGCGACCGATAAATCCAATATCTGTGCATTCTAGCGGATTGGCGACAACGACTCCCCCCCCCCCCACCCCTTTAATTAATTTCAGAGCGGTGCGAAATCACAAAGGTTACAATTTCACAAACGGCAACAACGACAACAACGACAACAACAACAACTCGCATTCCTAACGCACCCAGAGTGTTACAAATGTCTCAGAGCGTGTAATTAATTTCACGCGGGGAACGAAATAGAGAATTGAACGGGTTGAGCAAATGGGAAGGGAGGGAGGGAGGGAGGAAGTAGCGAAGAGAATGAATGAATGAAGGAGATTCGAAGACGTGGGTCTTTAATGTGGGTGTAAGGATGCCTTTTTTTTCGCCCCCCACGCTCGACCAAGCTCGGGCAAAGTTCGTTCTCAGTAACACTGAGGGGTCTGTTATGAGAAGTGCACGGTGGTCACTCTCCAATAAAGTTCAGCACATCAACAACAGCAACAACAACCACCGGTAGCTGATCTGGGCACAAATTAAATTCCCGCTGTTGCTGCCACCACCACTACCACCACCAGAGCACAGATGCCAAATAAACCCCCAAAGTTTCGATTTAAAGCTTTCGTGACTGCAGGGATTCATCTTGTTGGTTATTTCGGTAAAGTCACGTAGAAGGGAAATAATAAAATAATAAAAATAAAACATAATAAAATAATTAAATTTCGATTTAAAGCTTTCGTGACTGCAGGGATTCATCTTTTTGGTTCTTTCGGTAAAGTCACGTAGAAGGGAAATAATAAAATAATAATAAAACATAATAAAATAATTAAATTACGATTTAAAGCTTTCGTGACTGCAGGGATTCATCTTCTTGGTTCTTTCGGTAAAGTCACGTAGAAGGGAAATAATAAAATAATAAAAATAAAACATAATAAAATAATTAAATTTCGATTTAAAGCTTTCGTGACTGCAGGGATTCATCTTCTTGGTTCTTTCGGTAAAGTCACGTAGAAGGGAAATAATAAAATAATACAAATAAAACATAATAAAATAATTCTCACGACGTTTCGACCACAACGCAAGCAGCCGTCCTCAGGTGAAGAACAGGTTTGTCGGAAAGAAAGCTTCTGAATGACAGACCTGTTCTTCACCTGAGGACGGCTGCTTGCGTTGTGGCCGAAACGTCGTGAGAATTATTTAATTATGTTTTATTTGTATTATTTTATTATTTCCCTTCTACGTGACTTTACCGAAAGAACCAAGAAGATGCACCCCCAAAGTGTGAAAATAAGAATACGTTTTTACCCTTTCTGGCAAAATAAAACAGGAGATGTTAAGATATTCCAACACCAAATAGATACATTTGGCAAGCAACCGAGTCTGCATTAACCACACGTACTTGTAGTGAACATGCAAACGAACGTGCTGTCATAATATATGCATTGTCTTTGAAACTGATTGGCTTTGATACTGGCAAGAAAGGTCCCATGATAAAGCTGCTCACCCCGAGCTATACATGTTCCGATACGTGCATTGTCTTTGTGCTGTTCGCATTTTGTCGTTCTCTGCTCTGACACTGGTAGTGAGACTTTTAGAAAGAAAGCTGTCTCTGGTGTAGGCAACTCAGTTTCAAAGACGATGCATACATAATGATATTATCGGAGCATGTTTATTTGCATGCTCACCACCAGTACGTGTGGCTAATGCAAACTTGATTCATTGCAAAGGGCATCTATTTGGTGTTTGAATATCTGAACACCCCCTGTAGTATTGCCAGAAAGGGTAGAACCTATTCTTATTTTTCACGCTTTGATACTGTCAAGAAAGGTCTCATGATAAACCCACCGAGTGTTCGAAGCGCTCTGGCATTTCATCAGAATACTTATTTATCACGCTGCAGGGGGAATCCGATGAGCTTCAAAGCTCTTTTCCCCCCACAGATGTCCAGTAGGGGGCGAGTTAGAACGTTACTTGCGATGCAAGAGGCTCACTCGTTCGGTTCGATTCTCCTGGCGCGCCAAGTTGGAACCACGTGCCAGGGTTTGACACGTCGCTCCATCACGCCTCGCATGCTTTGGCTGCAGTTTGACCCGCTGTTCAATTTCACCAACAACAAAAATGTTAAGACTCATTTCGACCAATCGTCGGTCAAAATGTCCAAAAATTGTATTTCCTATTCATCACCGTTATGCTCGGGTGAATAGAAAGGCATTTTAATTGAATATGTCAGCGTGGCAACTCGAGTTGATCTGGTTTGTTGGGTGGTGCAGGGTCACGCAGTCGTTAAAAAAATATAATTATCCACGACACACGACAAACTAACTCAAAAGTAACTCATTATTAATCATTGCAAAGGTAATTTGCTGGAAAGTGTCATTTGCAATGATCGCTATTGCATTGTTTTAAGTAAATATGCACATTCCACCAGTTATCACAGCTTCGATATAACGTTCTGCAGCCCCCTCGTGATAAAGAATTTAATTGCAGTTTTGGTGGAGCGGAATAAGATATGCCGTTGTTGCGGGCGTTTGAATAGTTCGTGTAATGATCGTCGCTGCGATATTTTAAAGCAACTTTCAATACAAATTAGTTGGGTTGAATAGGAATAATACGGGTTGGCTGTTACTCGAACCAATGTTGCTCAGTTGGAACCTCATTTGCCCGTAAAAATATGATAATTGGTTTTTTACCCTTCTATCTGGCAACAAAACTGACACCTTTTTACACGTTCTGCAGATGTAGATGCCATTGGTTCTTCACGTTCTGCAGATGTAGATGCCACTGGTTCTTCACGTTCTGCAAATGTAGATGCCACCGGTTCTTCAGGTTCTGCAGATGTAGGTGCCACTGGTTCTTCACATTCTGCAGATGTAGGTGCCACTGGTTCTTCACCTTCTGCAGATGTAGATGCCACTGGCTCTTCACATTCTGCAGATGTAGATGCCACTGGTTCTTCACGTTCTGCAGATGTAGATGCCACTGGTTCTTCACGTTCTGCAGATGTAGATGCCACTGGTTCTTCACCTTCTGCAGATGTAGATGCCACTGGTTCTTCACCTTCTGCAGATGTAGCTGCCACTGGCTCTTCACATTCTGCAGATGTAGATGCCACTGGTTCTTCACGTTCTGTAGATGTAGATGCCACTGGTTCTTCACGTTCTGCAAATGTAGATGCCACTGGCTCTTCACATTCTGCAGATGTAGATGCCACTGGTTCTTCACGTTCTGCAGATGTAGATACCACTGGTTCTTCACCTTCTGCAGATGTAGATGCCACTGGTTCTTCACGTTTTGTAGATGTAGATGCCACTGGTTCTTCACCTTCTGCAGATGTAGATGCCACTGGCTCTTCACATTCTGCAGATGTAGATGCCACTGGTTCTTCACGTTCTGCAGATGTAGATGCCACTGGTTCTTCACGTTCTGCAGATGTAAATGCCACTGGTTCTTCAGGTGCTGCAGATGTAGATGCCACTGGTTCTTCACGTTCTGCAGATGTAGATACCACTGGTTCTTCAGGTGCTGCAGATGTAGATGCCACTGGTTCTTCACGTTCTGCAAATGTAGATGCCACTGGTTCTTCAGGTGCTGCAGATGTAGATGCCACTGGTTCTTCACGTTCTGCAGATGTAAATGCCACTGGTTCTTCAGGTGCTGCAGATGTAGATGCCACTGGTTCTTCACGTTCTGCAGATGTAGATGCCACTGGTTCTTCACGTTCTGCAGATGTAGATGCTACTGGTTCTTCACGTTCTGCTGATGTAGATGCCACTGGTTCTTCACGTTCTGCAGATGTAGATGCCACTGGTTCTTCACGTTCTGCAGATGTAGATGCCATTGGTTCTTCACGTTCTGTAGATGTAGATGCCACTGGTTCTTCACTTTATGTAGATGCCACTGGTTCTTCATGTTCTACAGATGTAGATGTCACTGGTTCTTCACGTTCTGCAGATGTAGATGCCACTGGCTCTTCACATTCTGCAGATGTAGATGCCACTGGCTCTTCACATTCTGCAGATGTAGATGCCACTGGCTCTTCACATTCTGCAGATGTAGATGCCACTGGCTCTTCACATTCTGCAGATGTAGATGCCACTGGTTCTTCACATTCTGCAGATGTAGATGCCACTGGCTCTTCACATTCTGCAGATGTAGATGCCACTGGCTCTTCACATTCTGCAGATGTAGATGCCACTGGCTCTTCACATTCTGCAGATGTAGATGCCACTGGTTCTTCACATTCTGCAGATGTAGATGCCACTGGTTCTTCACATTCTGCAGATGTAGATGCCACTGGTTCTTCACATTCTGCAGATGTAGATGCCACCACCGCCATCTATTGCACGGCGGTTGAACTTACGTCTCTCGGTCCCAACAGGCGACTGGACGTACAGGACAGGTTTGTTCGTATCTCTGAAAGTTCGTAAGTCGAGTGTTCGTAAGTAGAGGAGTCTCTGTATTTACGTTGGCAACGCCTGGAATGCCTGCCAGGTGGAGCCGGATTAAGTGGAATCCGGATCTTGGATTTCTCCATCCGACGATTACATTTTTCCGATGACGTCACCGCCCAAACCTCTTTGTTTATTCCACAACGCATAAGAGCCGGTGGCGAGCCGCGCGGGAGGGGGAGGGGCGAATTGGTCACCACGTGACGCGTGCTCGTCCAATGGGCGCGCGCCGTCCCCCCCCCTTGCGTCTCCTTATCGTACCCACCAAATACAAAACGTCCCCCCGCCCCGTTCGGTGACGTCACGACCCTGGTAGAGTTCACCGCGCGCCTCGATTACAACGCTCGCGACGGCGACGTGTGGACCGGGGCGGCCATCTTGGGTAAGGGATAAACAAACCGGCTTGAGCTTCACGGGTATAGTGGGGGTGGGGGGGGCTTGATGACGGCATCGGAATGTCCACGCCCCCTTCCCCTTGCCTGCCACGTCCGTCTACCCCTTAGCAAGATGGCTGATCTGGATTCAGTCTCAGTGGAGCGGCTCGTGTGGGTTGAGTGCTCGCGTCTTGCGTGCGGACGTCGTTTCAGAGCCACCCCCTTCCCCCTGTGCCACCCCATGGGGTTCACTTTTAAGCATTTACTAAAAGTCTTCGGCGTCTTGGTGCTCTCTCTCGCTCTCTGTTGTTGTTTGAAACCTAGTCTGTTGTTGTTTTAAACCGGTAAGAATTGTAGAGGGGGTTTGGGTTTTTTTTTTTAACATAGATATTTGAGGAGAAAAAAAAGCAACCCAGAAGTTTAAAGTCTTTTATTACTTTTCAACGGTCAAAAGACGCCTTCATGGCAAAACATCAGCGGGCCACGTCGCGGCAAGTCAACCTCATAGAAGTCAAGAGCAAGGTACGCTTTTGACCCATGGAGTTCACCGAACCAGCCGGGGTGAAGTATGGTCATTTGAACGAAACATTCGTGGACGCTTGCAAAATAAACATTTACTGACACATCCGTGGATCAAATCGACGGACGATGTCTCTCACGAATCACTCCAGCGTAACTTTCACCATACTTCACCACGCTGGTCACCACCGGGCGTTTGGTGGTGAACCCAAAAGTGTTACGAGCAGTTCCGTCACGACGCAGTGTTCACGTTCACCAGCGTGGTGAAGTATGGTCGAAAGGGCCTTTTGACACGCCACGTGGGTGAGGGGATGAGATGGATGATGAGAAGATGAAGGTTTTCATCCAGCAGTGGATCGACGCTGCCCCTACCCCGTGTTCCTTGTGCAGTCAAAACACACCGGGCGGTGTTCATGAGTCATTGGATGATGATCGATGTTTCACTCTGCACTGTTAGATTAGTTTATTTTCTGTTGTTGCTGCTGCTGCAAACGCACACAATGTCAAATCTTTAACGTGTTCGATTTGCCGACATGTGTTGCGGTGTGAGCTAAGCACTCATCCAGCAGTGGAATGAGCAAGTGGGCTCTTGTACAGTTGCGTGCACACCTGAATTGGCCATACTTCACCACCCTGGGTTGGTAGGCGGGGAAGCACAGACGGTGGGCACATAGAAGTACAACACAACAATGGATTGTACTGCACTACTACTCTGGTTTCGTTGTTAATAGCTGTTAAATGCCCCCCCCCCTCCCTCTCTCCCTCCCTCTCTTTTAAAGCAATTCACTGGTACGTAACTTTAACCAACGTGTGCTCTCAAACTTTAAAACGTGTCTTGGTTAAATGTGTTTGTACTGCACCAGCGTGGTGAAGTATGGTCATGTGAACGCCGAGGTGCATGGGGAGAGACTAATTTGTAGTGGATTGACAATCTGCAAAGTGTGCCGCCTTCAGAATGGTTAATTAGTGTGCGCGTGTCTGCTGCGTGTGTGTGAATTTGATGGTTTTATGGAATAGTTTTGAATGTTTAATGTTTTGTAATTGCGTAATTGAAGGCAGACCCGTGGCTTTTAAATGTTGACCCCCCCCCCGGCTCCATAAATCGGTTTGATAATTGATACGAACATCGTGAATACTGATTAGATCTTTAATGTTACTCAAATGTCTACAAAGGCTGTGGTTTTGAGAAGGGGCTCTTAAAAACACTTGGGTATTGTCAAGATAGATGGCCGTGCAGAGTGATTGCCTTCGTCAACGAAACGATTACACCCTCGTATCTCACTTACGAGCCGTGCAAGCAATGCTCGCAAGCTGCCTTTTGAGCGCATTTACTTAATTTCACAACTCCATCTCCACGAGATTTTGACCTTTTGGCTGGCACCTTATCGGGTCCTCCGTTCCCACCACCATCACCACCCTGGCTTGTGACATCTCCGCTTTGTTGTTGAGCCACGGTGTGTTCCTGCCCCAAGCCCGCTTCACTTATCTCAATGGCCCAAACTTTCAAGTAGACATTTCAAACATCATCAGACATCTTCGTGGTTCTTTCAGGTAAAGTCACGTGACTTTACCGAAAGAACCAAGAAGATGAATCCCTGAAGTCACGAAAGCTTTAATCGAAAATCATCGGACAGTTTATTTAAATATTGATTTGAAGCTTTCGTGACTGCAGGAATACATACTCTTGGGTTCTTTCGGTGACTTTACCGATCGAACGTGCGTTCGATCAAGGTCACACGCTACTTTAAGAATCATATAGCCCAATAAGGTCCGCAGGTGAGTTTAAATACATTTTCGATTCTACCTTCGTGCATGGCAGTTCGAAACAATGGGGCGAGTTGATTGATCTACTAAACTAAACTTTTATTTTACCAGGTAAGGGCCACTGAGCTGTATCGCTGTTTGTTTTCAGAAGCGACCTGGCCACAAATGATAGCTGAACGAAGTGGCTTATGTGTAAATTTATAGCACCCAAGTGTTTTAAATGGATGTTTCTAAATGTGAAGGGAAAAATCGGAGGACCTGGAGGAAAATCCACGCGACCACGGGGAGAGATACACCGCAAACTCCAAATATGCGGCAGACATCGGGGTCAAACCCACGACCTCCTGCATACCAGACGAGGCAGTTAACATCTAGACACTGTGGTCATGATGAGAGCGAGAGAGACACCGCAAACTCCAAATATACAGCAGGCGTCAGGGTCAGGATCTAACCCACAACCCCCTGTATTCCAGGCGAGGGATTTAACATCTCACCACCGTGACGCCCAATTTGGCTGGGTGCCCCTCGAAGTTCGTAGTCGCTGTGTCGGAGACACCGAACGTGGTCACCCACACCCAGGGCCATACATAGAGGGTGTGGGGCTCCCCCCCCCTCCCCGACGTATTTGACCTCTTGACACCGTGACGTCGAAGCGTGGCCCCCCCCCCCCCCCAAAGCGCGGGGCTCCGGGCAGTCGCCCCGATTTGCCCGTACCCCACAAGGACGAGCTCTGCGTCGACCACAGTCGATCGGCAGGTCACACGTAGAGGGGTTAAAGTGTGGGCACTGACCGCCATCTCTCTTCTCCTAAGCCATCTGGCCGGCCTGAAAGAGTAGGCCAAATACTCCTTTTAAAGTAGCTTGCTAGAATTCTCTCAATCAAGGGCCCTTACGGCAGCAGCATGAGACAAGCAATTTGCTTTGAGAATTGTTCGCTCATTTTCTAGGTGTGCGTGGGTTTTATGGGTCTGTGTACCATTCTTGTGGAATGTTGTAAGATTTCGAGTTAAGTTTATAATATTTGGACACTGCTTTAATAAAAGGCCCTGCTCGTGTAGTTTAAAGACGCCACCCCAGCGCCCCACCTGGTTTTACGACAAGAGTGGTTAGCAACTTGATGCAGTAGTTTGCCGAGCTGCGCTACCAACCCTGAGTTTTGATTCCCAGCCACGGCTAACATCAACCCGCACTGACTGGCGTGGTGAAATAGCGTCAAACGTGTTACCCCATGGCCGACAAGGTATGGGGGAAGCGGTGGATTGATAAAGGGGTGTAAGTGTACGTTTGGTTCCGTAATCATTACATTAACAATGTTTTTTTTAAACTACCACGTAGGTTGTGCGGTAATAGCTTTCCGATGTGTTTTTTCGGATTGTTTTTTTTTTTACTTAAAACTTATCTTTTTGTTACTAGTAATCCATTTTTTTTTATCGCCGTTTTAACTTTTTTTGAACGAAAATATTGTTCCTGGATAAGCCTCTTCAGATTTCACATCTCATTTTGCTTAAAAGTATGAAGGCATGCAAGCACTATGGGCAGATATCACGCTGCACCTTTTCGGCATCGTAATGTTTTTACTGTACACAAACTCAAAGTCAAAAAGTCACCGTGCCCTCATGTCCCAACGTTTGCACTCATATCAGCTGTTGATGTTGAGCAAGTGTTGTAAACTCCACATTCCTGTGGTAGGCAACAGTCTGTCCATATGTAACCGAAGGTGGCATGTGGTATATTTCGTGGAGAGAAAGGAACGCTCAAAGGCAGAGGTAAAGAGGAAGGCCTTTAGCCCGCACTTGAATAGTGGTAGGGCAGGAAATTACGTATTTTTAAATCCTTTATATTAAGTTCGCTTGCTTGCTTGCTTGCGCGCTTACGACCGTGCAAATCTTTCGGTCGTTTTTTAACCCACTTCCCGTGATCCAATCGAGCTGACATTTTTCACACAGACTCGTTGTGCATGACAATTTATTTTCGTGAAATTTTTTTCCCAAAATTTTTCACTTTTTAGGAAAAAAACCATTTCACTAACACAATCATATATTTTTCCTAAACACAGAAAATTATTCAAGAAAACAACAAAAATGTACAATATAAACAATCATACAAAAACTGAAAACCTTATAATCCTTATATACGACTTTCCTTATATTTAATTTAAAATACCAATGTGATAAAAAATGAAACTCTTACTCAAGAAAAACAGAAATGAACAATAAAATAAAACCGATGCCACGCATATAAAGGATTTATAGTGAAAAACTTAGTTTTTACGGGTTAATTTTTTTTTAGCTTGTATTTTACGAGGTAAGGCCTACTAAGCTGTATAGCTCTTTGTTACAAGCCACCTGGCCATCAAAAATGATAGCTCAACGAAGTGGCTTATAATTATGTGGAAATGTATAGCAGCCAAATACTCAAAATGCATGTTGATTCAAAATGTGAAGGGAAAAAAACCGGAGGGGACCCGGAAACAAAAATCCATGCGACCACGGGGAGAGAAAGACATGCAAACTCCAAATATAGAGCAGGCATCAGGGCCAGGAATGAATCCACGACCTCCTGTATACCAGGCGAGGTAGTTAACATCTCGCCACTGTGGCACCTCTGCACGAAAAAAAACCGTTGTTATCATAATAATCCAGAGATGTTGATGGCTTTTACGAGGCCTTCACTCAGCAGTGATTTTGAAGAGTTTGAAAGTAAGATTTGTTTCTGGTTTGTGAGAAAAGCAAACACGCAATCCTTAAAACAAAACAAGCGTTGTTTTGGCTTGATTGGAGTTGCGTTTAATAACGCGCGTGCGGGTGGAATCCCGTGGGAGTTGCTGCTAATTTTCTCCGATTAATAACATTGTTTGTGTCTTTAGTAAGTTAAAAGCAGAAATAATAAAAGGAGCATTGTGTGCGATTGCACTTGCGTTGTACTTTTAACGCAAGCGCACGCTGAACCGTGTGTCGCGCGCAATTGCTGAGCATAAGCCCATGGGACGAAAACGTCTAGCGGCACTTGCAAAGTTGTAGGAGGCGAAAGGGTGTGCATGGACTCGTTTCTTGAAGCGGGTTTCTTGACTTGGAGAGGCGTGCCGGGGCATTCGCGAGCAGAAGCATTCCGAAAGAGAGGAGCGTTTTGATCTGCGGTGGATGAGACGGGTCCATCTCCCGCGCGGCAGTTGGAACGGCGGCGCAAGTTTCTTGAATCCCCCAGCAGTGTAAATGGGTGCACAGCGATTAGCTGATTTG